CCTGACAGATTCTTTCTGCCTCCCTAGTGCTAATACTGATATAAATCCACAGTTCTAGGCAGTAATTTGTACATTTCTTTCGAGCTCCTTTCATGGGGAAAAGAGCTCCACCCAACCTCTGTTTTCATGCAGTGAGTTCAGGTCCAGTCCTACAACTCCCATGGAGCACTATGAGTCCTTGTTAGTTACCCTCTAGGATACTAATTTCGATGCAAGAGGTATTCAAATAATCGCACTGCATCTGCTCCGAGATGGACGATCACATATTAAGTTTCTGTACCATTTCTAGCCCACCATGATATTTACCTTTTAAGAGTATGGCTATGTCTTCATTTTCTCCTTTAAAATTTTATCTGTCCCTCCTATATGTTTGAAACATAGAAGGAGGAAGCTTTAAGACTCAATGCCCACATAATTAAAAGTTTAAAATGTCTTTAAGGAATAATCTAATGGTTAAGGAATGCTATACTACACCAATCTGGGAGGACATGGAATACTAAGTTAATGATTTTAATCCACCTTATTTTACCATGGAACTACATGGTTCTATTATAGTTACATATAACTATATGAATACGTATTTGTTACTCTAACACTTATTTTTAAATGTTTAAAAGCGAAAATACTTAAAGGGCAGTGTTTATTTCTAGGAATGGAATTTTTAGTGTACTTAAATCATACAACAAATAAACGTTTTATTTATTTAAAAGTAAACTGTCAGGGGTCAAATGTATGGTGATGGAAGGAGATTTGACTTTGGGTGGTGAACACACAGTGCAATAAACAGATGACATATTACAGGATTGTACACTTGAAACATATAATTTTACTAACCCATGTCACCCCAATAAATTTACTTTAAATAAATAAATAGGAAGAAACTGTTTAATTGGTAGATATCTTACCAGATCTAATCATATTAAGCATCAGAAATCCTCTATCTATGCGAAACATGACTGCCTAATATAAAATACATAACATGTTTCATTAAACATAAGCAATCTGTTAACCAGAAAATATAATAATCATGAAACTTCTTTCTTATACAGAGAACAATAATACAAATCAATTTACAACAGTAAAACAGTGAAACTAATAAAGCTTGGTGGCCATATGAAGTAATAATAATGATGTAACTCCCTTAACAGAAAAAAACTTCTACCTGTGGTGGTTCACTTGGAGATCCCAGAGAGGAACAATTTTCATTTTCATCCACCTTTATCTGTTCATAAGTTCGCTTCCTAGGTTTCTTATCGCCATCTGAATTGAAAGAACATTTAAGTTTTAATGAAAAAATACATTTTAATGAAGAGATCATGATAAAAGACTATATACTTACATAGAGCTTGCTTAAGTTGTTCTAATACATCATTTTCATAAACAGACCTTTCTTCCCAAATAGATAACACTCTTCCAAGGTGCTTCTTACAACTTTCATCAGTTTCACTAAAGAAAAAGTAAAAATATTTTATTTTTATAAGTAAAAATGCATAGTGCTATTGAAAAGGCAATGGTGATTTTAAATATAATCAGACATTCATGCCCTGGAGAAAACTGTCCAAATGTTTACTAAGCACCATTATGTGATAGGCAGTTTAGGGGTGCCGTGATCAAGACAGACATATTCCCTGCTTCCCTTAAAGAGCTTACAGACATATTATAGACAAATTATTAAACAAAAAATTATTTTAAAAATATAAAGGTGTTAGTCCCAGTTTCTAGGGGTTTACAAAGAAGCTGCCCCAAACATAATATGGGATGAACATCAGGTTAAGGAATATTTCTCATATGTGATTTTTAAAGTTATTTAACAAATACTGATCAATGCACCATCTTTGACATGGGAGATACAAATGGGAACTTTTTGGCAGCTATTATTTATAAATGCCACAAAAGAGAACAAGGTGTTAAAAACAGGCATAACAGAGAGACCTGGCCCAGGTTCAAAAGAAATCAGGAAGGGGATCTGAGGAACTGATATTTAATCTGAGATCTGAAGACTGGATACACAGGGAAGTGGGAAACAGACTAATCCTAGTCATTTCCCACCACCTTCATCAATATTACCATAGAGTGAGCCACTATTATCTCTTGCCTGGATTTTTTAACAGTCTTCTCATTGGTCTCCTAAACTCTACTCTTTCACTATTTCTCTATCATCGTAAACCAAATCATACTGCTCTCAATCTTCGAAGAGCTGCCACTCATACCACGAATAAACCCAATATCCCTATCCTGGGCCATAAAATGGACATGTTCTGCTTCCTGGCTATCTCTCAGTCCACATTCCCTAAATTCCTTCTCCCATACGAATCTCCTTGCTGATTTTCAAACATGCCTAGCATAGAGCTGTCTCACATGGCTCATTTTTTCATTTCCTTTAATCTCTGTTCAAATGCCATCATCCCCAAATAGTAATTTCTTATCTTATAATATAACTGAGCACCGTCATACTCTCTAGTTCCTTCTCCAGTTTATGATTCTTCATAGTCTTTATCTTTTGACATTATAATATATATTCAATTGGTTATCTAGTTATTACCTGTGTTATCCACTGAAATGCAAGCTCTATTAGAACGGATCTTTGTCTTGTTCATTACTGTATCCTCAGGGCCTAGCACACAGTAGGCAGTCAATAGTATTTTACTGAATTCTCGGGAGAGGTGACATATATAAAAGCCATAAGGCAGAAAGAAAAGAGGTTCAGTTAGCTTAAGCTGTAGACTACAGAGTATGTGCATGGAAGAAATGTGAGACAGGAGTCTGAAGAGGTAGACAGGGCCATGAAGAAATACCTTAACTCTTGCTCAAGACATTAGACCTGATCTCTGGGACAAATGAGAATCATTCAAAGGCATGGGAGGGTTATGACCAGCTCTGCAACTCTGAGTACAGTTTCCTAAAAGGATTAAACAACACTGGAAGTGACTGCAATTATAGAGAAATGACATTATGGTAACTGGAATGGAAAGAAATCTAAAGAACTGAGGGAACTATATGTAGTAAATGGGAAAGGGGAGTGAAAGAAAGGAGAGTGTGCTATATTATAAATCACAATATCACAGAAGGTTAAAGATGACACCTAACTTCTCAACTGAGTACCTGGATAGATGGAGGTGCCATTCACTGAGAGCATGAAACCTTGAGGAAAAGCAATTTTGACAGGGAGCAAGGACATAATGAGTTCAATATCAGACAAAGTAAGTTTAAGATGTTTGGAGGAATATAACTAGAAATTCGATAGGCAATTGGACAGAGAAGTCTAAAAGAAAAAACATCTCAATCGTACCATTTGATTGTGAGTTATTAGGATATGGATGATAAATACAGAGGGCAAGAATATGACGCCTCACCCACCCAAAGAGGGCCTAAGACTGAACCCTACGACCTATATGCCAGGATCTGAAAAGATGGTAAAAAGTAGTATCTAAATTGAGGGATAAATAATATTTATTTAAGAAGGTAACATACAGCAGTATTTCACACTAATTTTTAAAAAATGCATCCACTGTGACTAAAACGACAAGGCATACGGCTAGTACATTTTCGTCTTTAAATTGTTCAATACAAACCATCATTCACCATTGAATTCTATAACTTAGACTGATTTAATAGTCTATCCCAGTAGTGTTCATCCAGTAATCTATGAAATATTTGCATATGTTTAGAAATACACATTTAAAAAGGGCATAAGCTGAAGTACAGACTCCTACCCTCGGAATTTTTCTGCAGCGTAATTTGTCAACAGGTTTATGATTCTTTTAAATAAATATTCTATATTTCCAAAGCATTTAAAAATGTTATGACATATACCTACACACTAGAAAACTTTAAAATCATTATAAACAATTTGATGAAAAAAGGTAATAAGTTTATCCAGAAATATCAGCTGTAAGACTGATATCTTTATAAGCACGCAAAATTTCAATTTAACACCTTCATACATTCTTAATAAAATTTGTTCCAATTTGGCAGTTGTTTTGGTCTCTTTAAAGAAAGCTGTACAAGCACTCCAAATGCCTAACTTAGCAACAGCTCAAAAAAGTTTCCTTCACACAAAATATTCAAAACATTTACAAATGCCATTTATAGGTAAGACTTTTCAAATGAAAACGTCAAAGAAGTACATTTCCTTGTTTTTATTTTATGGCTTAAGGCAAATTTTAGCAAAAGGACATATTATGCATTTAAAACAGATTAGCTAATACTCAAAACAATTATCATACCTTGAAACATGCTTAAATGCCTCCACTATAACCGGTGCAAAATCTTTTGTAAACTCCGGCCCCTTCCTTTTGCTGTTCTGAATGACATCATTGGCTAGGTAGAGAAAAGTAAGCTTTCTGTTTGGTTTGGCTGAAAAATAAAATAAAATAAAAAATTTAAATCTACTTAAAATATCCTCACTTAACTTGGACATACTTTCTCAATACCTGAATTAAGCAGTTTGAGAACTACAAAACCTAACCTTTATTTATTATGTTCAATTCTAGCTTTTCATTCTATAACCAAACCTATCAAGTCACTACTCTTTTATTCACCAAGATAACTACTCTATAGTTTCTGGAGATCAATCATGTGAGGAAAAAAGAGAACTCAAGAGGCAGAGGTAGTCAATGATGTATCTTTTCGTTTCCTTGCAGTTTTACTAAGTCACCCAAACTACTTTTTCTTGATTGCTAGCTTTATCACTATTCTCAAATAGTTTTACAAACTGAAATCCTCATATCTGTGTAAAAATGCACCTCTGTGACTCTATCCTGTATGAAATTTTACTAAAACTAGTAAGCACTATATGAGATACAGCCATTTATAAATAAGATGGTGATTAGTTATGTTATTAAGATAGCACCCTAAACCCTAAATTGCATTTAATGTCCATGTTGATTTAAACACCAATTTTTAAGTTACTGTGAAACAAAAAGGGTACAACATGTTGAAACAGGTTGAAAGAGACATCAATCGATTACATATTTTTTGTTTATGAAATAAATATTTGCCAAGCTAATAAGAGTAAATGTTAAGGAGACCAGATGGGCAAAGTTTAGATTTTTTTCCCCCTTTGGTTTACAATGACCTTTAAATAACTGAATTCATCTTGACAAAAACATGTCCCTACTCATTATATTCTATAGGCATAAGTCATCTTTCTAGAAGAGCAGTTAAGATTTCAACAGTTGTGGGCCAGAATACATTTTTACTGGTTACCATGTTAAGTGGCATAGTAGTATTGAATGTAACTCAAACAAGATCCATATACATAAAGTTAGTTAAACAGAATCTTTTATACTATTTTCATAATATAATTTTACTAGAATTAAACTTAAATCATTGTCATACAATTATATTCAGAAACATCATACTTTGTGGCATCCACATTATGATGTAGAAGATTTACAGTCAGAACTGATAACCCAGTGCACTATTCGTGTGGGGTAGCTTATTGGATTTAAGGCAAAAATTTGGGCAGGATGCAATTGGACCTTTAGATTTGAGTATTAGATTTAAATTTTAAGCATTCAACATATTAAAAAACACTTCTGAGTTCACATCTTCCTTGAGGGAAAACTAGCAACCCAACCTTCTCACAAGAAACTGTAACATACTGAGTCACAACTGATTAGATTTTACAAACCTGTGCTGTCCTTTGTATAAACTGGTATGCCTGTCTAAAACTGCCACCCACAACTTTTCATGCTTTTGAAAGTCACAGGCTCAGAATAAAGATGAGGAAGAAACTGTAGTAAGAGACCACCTTCTGATTCTTCCACCTCTTGCCTGGTTAGATAAACCACAAAGTACAACTGGTTAAGGTACCAAGACCCTTTCCCATGAAGATGGTAATAACTGTACTTTTCCAAGATTCAGCACTCTTTTTTTTATCTACCCTGCCCAAAGAAAATCCCACCCCCCAAAAAGGTTGCTATTATTTAATCCAAATATTTGCTTTCTCATCATTAAATTGGGTTTAAAAACTCAAATTTAAAAATTTTATTATTATTGCCTAATTGGGAGACTCCCTGCAGTACTTTTAGGTGCCTACACCAATGGACTACTTTTTTCTAAATTACTGAACTTTTACTGTGTAATACACTATTCTCAGTACTTTATATATATTACCTAATTTAATCCAAATAATGTAAGGTGCCATTATTATCTGCATTTGGCAGTTGAAAAACAGACATCAAAAAGATAGTGCCCACAGTGAAATAGCCAGGAAGGTATCAGCCAGGATTTGAATTCAGAACACCCAATTCCAAAGCAGTCCCTCTTAACAATTAGACTATGCCTACTGTCATGAAAAAAGAGAATGTTACCTTTTAAGATTAAGTAGCAACTCAATCAAAATATTTCAGAATGTAGCAGCATTATTCACAAGAGCTAAAAGGTAGAAGCAACTCAAGTGTCCATCAACTGATGAATGGATAAGAGAAATGTAGTCTTTACACAAACGGAATATTATTCAGTCTTAAAAAGAAAGGACATTCTGAAACTTGCTACAATGTGGATAAACCTAGAAGAAATTATGCTAAGTGAAATAAGTCAGTCATAAAAAGACAAATACTGTATGATTCCACTGACATGAGGTAGCTAGATCAATCGTATTCAGAGAGACAAAGCAAAATGGTGGCTGACAGGGGCTGGGAACTGGGAGATATGGAGAGTTACTATTTAATGGGTGTAGAGTTCTAACTGTGTAAGATGAAAAGAATTCTAGATATGCATGGTGATGATGGCTGCACAACAGTGTGAATGTACTTCTAACACTAAACTGGTTAAAATACTAAATTTTGTTAGGTGTATTTTACCACAAAAATTTTAAAATATGTAGTTTACAACATTTTTTAAATTCATGGGCTACTAATCTCTTAAAAATAACTCAAAATAATTTCTACAATGTACGTTAAAGTAAAAATTTACAAGATTTCAAAATATATTCTGAAGGACAACTCTGTACCATGAGCATAGACTCGGTATGTGGTCCAATACCAAAACATTATTTTCATTTTTTTTCCTTTGTGGAACCCAAGATAAAATATGAAAAATACCTAGAAAATGCTATAATGTATAACTTTCAAATTTTCAGGGGAAAAAAACTTACTTCCATTTAAAACGGTGTGTACATTGAGACTGGCCAAGATGGCCTAGAAGCTAGATGCTGTGCATGCCTCCAATCGTGACCACACCAAAATTACAACAAAACTATAGAGCAACCCTAACTGAGAGTTGCCTGCGGTCTGGCTGAACGTAAGTCCTACAACTAGGGTACATACATAAGAGGCAGGAGAGGCGGAGACATAAAAGAGCCAGTACCATGACAGTGTGTGGCAGTCCAGAATCAAAAGGGTTACCTTGGCTGTAGACCCTCTCCCACCTGAAGAGCGAGGGGTTCTGGCCCCACACTGGGCTCCGCATCGAGGGTTCAAGTGCTGGGAAGAGAAGTCCCCCAAACCTCTGGCTGTGAAAACCAGTGGAGATTGTGGCTGAGTGAGATGGAGGGCTGCAGCAGTCACAGACGTTCCTCTTAACCCATTTCCTGTTTGCCCCGAGAATACTCACCAGCAGCGTTTACCCGGAGATAACTCAGATTACAGTCCTAACCTTACCCCCAAAGTGTGTCACAAAATATCTCCCTTTTATTATTATTTTCACATCGCTCTAGTACATCAATAGTCTTTAGAAACAAACAATATCATTCTATTTACAGCATTGTTTTTAATAGTGGTATTTCCATTTACAAAATATAGTAATTATTGATGCCTGAAAATGTCCAATCCTAGAAAATGTAGCATTCCTACACATGATATTAATTAACATCATTCTCAAATAGTTATTAGCCGAAGATTCATTTAATGAATTCGATTTATGTACACATTTGTTTCGTTAGGATTAGAGGCAAGTTCTGTTTAGCAATAACTTCAAGAACAGTTTTTATATTTTATTTTTACATTGAAAACCAGATTTGCTTCAGCCTCAAAAAGCGAGTTTATGTAAAATTAAGTTAACGCTGGCAATAAGCTGCACTTTTTTTCCCCTAAAGGCAAAATGAGTTAAAGGGCCCACGCCTGGGCTTTACTCCATTACGGATTCACTTGCTCTGAGCTCCAGCACTAGACAGCTGTTCCAGGAGCGCCAGGGACATACAGGGAGACACTGAGTGGTTAGGCTTCAGGACAAGGGCCGAAGGGTGGCTCTGTCCCAGACAGAAGTGCTAGGAATAACCACTGTTCCTTGGTTAAGCCCTCCCCACTCCCAGGAACCAGACACAGGCAGCCACCATACCTGAGTGTCCACCAACCAGAATAACACAGGTCGCTCTGCCCAGAGGATTCTGAGACTCCGCCTTTCCCAAATCATGGGCCCACCCAAGCTGCCTCCAGTGGTTTACATCATACAAATAGCCTGGCTCAGCTCATGCTGCGGACTTTCCAAAAATCTCTCAAAGGCTCACAAAACCCAAAGAAGCAGCATTTGGCCTCTGTGTGCCTCATACCCCTTGCTGAGCAGCACCAAGCCTGGCACTAGCAGCAGCCAGCCTAGGTTTCTGGCTTGGCCTCCCGAGACACCTATAATCCCAGCATGGTGGCAGCTATCTGTGGACTGCTTGGTATCTAATACCAGGTGGCCTGGGAAATGCATAGGCTGCAGCTGAACTTGGCCTGCAGTTTGGGCTGGCATACCCAGTGGCCTGCTTTGACCTACATCAGAGCTGGAATATCACCCAGGGCTGGATTCGAGGAAGACAAAACCGAATGGCAGACTGGGCAGGCACCAGAGCCCTGTTAAAGTGAATCTTGCTTCATAAGGTCAGCCCCTCATCGACCAAGCCTCACAACCAATCAGCCCAAAGGTCAATCCCTCCCATGGAAGAGTAAACAGCAACCAAGCCTCCACTACATCAGGAAGGAGGTAGTGGAACTACTCATACAACTCATACAAGGGACACATCTTGAGCACCTCGCTCAGGTGACCAGGGAAGACTGCCACTAGGCCCCACAGAACACTTACTAAATAAAGACACTCTACTAAAACCAGGAGACTTAGGAGCCCTACCTAATAAATAGAAACGAACACAGGGAGACAGCCAAAATGGGGAGACAAAGAAACATGTTCCACATGAAAGAACAGAACAAAGCTCCAGAAAAAGAACTAAACAGCAATCCATCAGATGCAGATTTCAAAACACTGGTTATAAAGATGCTCAAGGAACTTAGGAGAAGAGCAGATGAACTCTGTTAGAACTTTAATAGATATAAAACATAAAAACTGAGATCGAAAACATATAAAAGAACCAGTCGTAAATAAAAAATACAATAACTAAAATGAAGAATACATTAGAGGAAATCAACAGTAGA